TGGGACCAACATGGCTACAATTATATTTCATAGAAGAGGCACTTACAAAAGCTACAGTGAAAACATTCAATCCACTTACATGATGTAGTTCCTATAGCAAAGTGAATGGAATGATTAGGGTTCAATGTTTTATTCCAGGAATGAGTGTGATTGTACTGAAGCCAAGCTACTTTTAATTACAATGAAAAAAAGTGCTGCTTGTCTGTAAAGTGTACAGTCAAAATGAAGGTGAGCAAAGTTTTCTCAAATGAGGAAGCTGGAATGCTTAGTTCTTAGCTGGTCAGGGTGATTCTAGAATCAAGCTTAACATGAGAGGGTTTTCTGTCACAGTGAGTTGTCAGCAGTGGGAACACAAAGTCTTAATTGTTCTGGGTTCTTTTTGATGACAGAGTATTCTTCCTTAAAAGAACCTAGGTCCCACAGGCACAGTCATAGCAGAATTGCAAGTGTATTTAAACCTCCATTACTCAAATTGTTAATAAACCAGAGCAAGATTTACACTAGATTTGAATAGGTAATTTAACATTTTACAAAATAGGGAATCTGTTTAGTGAGCTTTAGACCTATTTAACTATTTCTTTAATTGCAGGTGGTTTTGCAGAAGTGTAAAGTCAAATCTCTCATGCATAGTCCTGGGGATTATATTCTTTTAAGTGCAGATAAGTATGAAATCAAGGTAGGTACTGTGTCTGTCTAAATATGTATCACAGTGCAGAGAAATATGGTACTTTCTGCATGTAGGGCATGCATTGGAGCTTTTAAGAGCACATAGGCTGTGGGGAAAAATTCATCAGTGAAGCATTGTATAGAAGACAAATGGGTCTTTGAAGTTAGTGGTGGTTCTATGCTTTTCTTTATATTTTAAGACTGAGTATCAGATGGCTGAGTGTGCATTAAGTGGGTAGCCCTGGGTTTGCAGTAAGGCATAAGTCCAAGTGCCTTCAGCCTCTGCCAACTGTACTCTTGTTGGAAACTCTTCTTCAGTAAGGGGGTGTATAGGTTGGGAGGAGGAGTTCTGATTGTAATAAATAGTTTAGAGCTTCACAGTGTTTCTCATAAGTGTGGTCATGGGGACTTTATTAATCTTCTGTTTGGGTAGAGAAAGTTAATACAGTTAAGAAGACTAGCAAAAGATTTGGTGAAACATTTGTTGTTGCTAAAACTAGTCTGTTTTCTTGTTCACTTACTCTGTATTCAAGAGATTGAGTATTAACTAAAAAAGCCTCTTCAGTGGAACTCTTCAGGCTTGAATCAATACTACTACTATTCTGTAGACTGAAAGCAAGAAAAACCTGAAAACCAAATACTTTCTGTAGTCAGGCACTCCACTTCCAGAAATTGTCTGAAATATAACTTGTCTAAAGTCACTAGTTGTTGGCAGCCCAGAATGACTACCGCATAAATAAGTGCAAAGCAATTGCTCTGTGTTCATGTAGCAGTTTACAGCTTGAGAGCCTTTATAGTATGAAAAAAATAGATTTTTTTAAATTGCAGATTTGGCCTATTGGAAGAGAAATAAACTGCAAATGCTTAAAAACCCTGTCCGTATCTGAAGATCGCAGCATCTCACTGCAGCCCAGACTGCACTTCGATGGTAAATACATAGTGTGCAGTTCAGCTCTAGGATTGTACCAGTGGGACTTTGCCAGCTATGATATTCTCAGGTATATTTTTCAGTTTGAGACTAACTTTGCATGTGAAGTTTTACTGGTGAGGTTTAAAAAACAATCTGGTTCAAAACCACTGTGGTAGACTACAGAGCCATTTGGTGGGACAAGGAAGCATAAGGTCCATCCCTCTCATGGTACTGTTAGGCTTGAGACACATCATAAAACACCTCAGAATTTAGTGGAATGATGTAGTCAGATGTCCTACAAACTGCAGGTGAGGGGGTCAGAGAAGATTAAGTTCTGTTATGGCCTTACTCTTAATTGTATGCTCAGTCCCAGAATAGTGTTGGCACCCAAAATCATAATTTCCCAAGAATAGGATTTATTATGGAAATACTGACAGACCTCTTTTGAAGGATACTAGCTCATTCAGCCAGCTGTGGCTCTAACCCAAAAGAAAAGCACAGTTTTACCTTTGTTACCTGCCTTTGGGTAGTTTAACCTCCTAATCTGGCTTCAAATATATCTTTGTGGGACATTTTCTAATAAGAAGGAATGGACCTAGAGCAGCCTCTATTGGGGCGTGTGAAGGGGAGACACCATATAAGTGAGGGGGTTCCTCCTGGGAACACTGGGTAAATTTTTCAGAAGTGCCTCCCTTGTGGAAACTTAATATCAGACTTGTTTTTTGTTAAGAGGGTGGCTTTAATCTACAGTCATGAAGTTTTAAATAGGCAATCTTAAATACACAGAGCCTGAACTGGAATTACAGGCCTGGATTAAGGCATATTGGCAGCTCTTCAGGGAAACTAACTACTTCTTCCTTAAATCATTTTTTCCTTAGACTCCAATTTTCGCTCTCTGTATATGCATATAGGGGATGAAGTTTAATAATATACAGTGATACCAATTCTGATTTAAACACTGTCTTGTCTTTCAGGGTCATCAAACCTCCTGATTTTGCAAACTTGTCCTTGCTGGGCTTCGGAGATATATTTGCCCTATTATTTGATAACAAATATCTGTATATAATGGACTTGAGGACAGAAAAACTGATTAGCCGGTGGCCCCTGCCTGAATATAGAAAGTCAAAGAGAGGTTCAAGCTTTTTGGCTGGTGAAATGTCTTGGCTAAATGGACTAGATGGCCAAAATGACATGGGCCTGGTTTTTGCCACCAGTATGCCAGACCACAGTATTCATTTGGTATTGTGGAAAGAACATGGCTGAAGATGTGGCAGGATATTCATGAGTCTGGGGCTGGAAGCAGTGTGTCCATGAAAGAAGACTTTGCATGAACCAAAGTTGCACACCTAATGGTATCATCATGCAATGCACAATCATTTATCTTTTGTTTTCTAGGGCATTTGGGAGAGATGGGCTTGTTTTGACATAATACAACACAGCATGCTAACAATATTTGCCAATGAATTTAATCTGTACTCGTATTTAAGCATACATATTTGGGTTTTCTTGACAAAGTATAGATTATAAAAGTTTAAATCACTCAGATCTATCATTTAAGTCTAAAATGAAATGGTGTTTGATCTGAAAGACTTCTATCATATATCTTTTGCTGAAACAAAAGGTGAAGCTACTATCTTGTTATGATAGGCTTTTATACATGTAACATCAAGTGCTAATCACAGTGCTAAAACTGCACCAGTACAAAGAATACTCAGTGCACAACTGCATGGTTTCCTCAACTATCAGCCTATTCAGGAACTTGGTTTCTCCTTATGGTAGTTTTAAACTCTTAGCAACCTGAAGTCAAGGAAGTAGTAAAGTCCTTTTGCCACTATCAGAATATTTCTTGATGACAGCGATGGCTTGTTTCTTTAAGTAGGGTGTTGTGTTCATGTGATATTCCTATCCCTTTGCCAGACTTGGGCAAATTCTTAGACATAAGCAGCATAAATAACTGCAGGATTTGAACTTGGAGAATTTGTGGGCGATTTTTTCCACAGTTCACTGCTGGAGTGGAATTGGCACAGAAATAAACAATCTTTTCCTGGACAGGGATACAACACAATAAAACCAACCTGCAAGTTTAGTGTGCCATTGCACAGTTATTGAATAAATATTTTGGACCATGTGTTGGTCTTTCCTCAGGGACTGAAACATGGAATATTTATTTGCACAAAATTCTCCAGCAGTTCATCCAGTATGGCTTAATTAACTTTGCATAACTTTTCTAGAGTTTGATTGTCTGAGCACAGTTTAATCCATACATTTAGGGAAAACATTAAGGGAAAGGAACTTGTTTAAGGCCGAGGCAGCAGGCTTTAGGCTCATACATTGTGTATCAAATGACATCTAAGGGCTGTCTACCATCCAACATAAGAGTGTGCTAATGAGTACAGAAGTACCTGTTAAATCTGGATTGGAGAAGGAGGATGAAAATTGTGACATTGTGAATACACCCTGTTTTCATAAGAGTTCAGGAGTTCTAAACCTAAAAGAACAGAATTAAAATAATCCACTGTACTCTTCTCTGACCAGTTTTACTAGGCCTGACCACTGTAGAGGGTGAAGATTTTTAGTAAATATTTTTAATAGTAGGTATTCAAATATTATGCTGAATCTGACTTTTATATTTAAAAGCTGTATCTATCATTACCTGACTCCTATGCTTTAGAACTGCATTTCTACATTTTGAAAATAAAATTTCCCCTCCATGTCTATTTTTACACTACTTCTAAATATAAGGCTGCTTGAAGATTAATGACTCTGTCCTTTACCTAACACACTTACATGGCTCCAATCACTGTAATAGCTAAGCATTTGAATGTACATATCCTCACATCACCCGTTGGGTAGCGCAGTATAATAATTCCTTTTTCGAAGATGGGGAACTGAGGACCAGAGCCTCAAAGGTGTTTAAACACCTCACTCCCATAGATTTCAAGCAGGGTTACATACCTACATATTTTTGAGGATCTGGAGCTGATTGACTTGGGAAGTCACACACAAAAAATAATTGATCCCAGATGTTTAAAACCAGGGTCCTAACTCATTCAACAAAAACAAGTTACCATTATAAAGAGGTGAGACTGGTTAAAATACACAACTTGATTGCAGCTGTGGTGAGGAGTGATGTTCACTTCTTTTTTTGGGGACACTTCACATGGTCAGCTAATCACCACAGCTAATAAGATGAAACAAAATATGGGTGAATTGTCAGTTTAGTCATGGTGTCATATGACATTTTGGAAACAAAATGGGCCTGTAGTGTATCCTACCTTTTTCCCACCAAGTCGAAAGCACACAACTAGAATGGGATGGTGAAAAAAGTGCCAATATAGAAGAATTACATGAATGTGTGGTATGCTAAGTGAGTATTAAAGCCAGTGTAAGCGTAGGACCAATCTCTTAACTTTATGCAGTGTACCTATTCAATGGTTGTCTTTAATTTAATTAAGCAACTAACTATAGATTCTTTATGCACTAGCACAGCCACACTAACAGCTGACGCATATATAGTTTTTGGAAATATGTGGGTCTCAAAGAGGAAAATCCCAGCCCCTGGATTTTGCTCCTGAAGGCTGCTCATCATAATTTTCCAGTGTGGATGTTTAATGGGCAAAATAATTTCTTCAATATCATTAAGAAGTACAAACTTGCTCCTGTACATGTTGCGGTAAATACAGTCATTTAGAGCTGTGATTTGTCGGTGGTGGCCAATATGTGTTCCATCCTCCATAAATCTCCATCTAGGAGACACTTTGAGATATGAAGTAATTGGCCAGGGAATTATCTTGACAGTTCTGGCTGCAATATAAAACTCCAAGACTTTCGCCATCAATTGGCTGCAGCTGTTTTTATAGATCATCACTTTCTGTACCCCAAGAATTTTATACATCTCCATGCTCTGTATAAATTGTAAGACATTATTGTAATTTCCAAACATGGTAGAGATACACACAGTGAATTCAATGGGAAATGTCTCAACTTTGCGTGTTTTTTTTATTTCAAACCTTGGTAGTTGGTCAATATTTCCTTTACGGGCCCAACTGATGGATACAAAGTTTGGATCACAGTTTTGAGGTTCCAAACAAGGCATGTCTGCTGCCGCGTAAGGGAATCCAAATTGATCTGAATGAACATATATTGCTGCCTTTGATAGGTATATTTCACCATCAGGCTGGCAGCAGAACCAACAGAAAAGGTCTTTCACCTTTTTATGGTGAACAATCCCAATCACACAGGTTATTTTGCTTTCTCTATCATCGAAGTACGGGGCAATGATAAAAGTTCTAGTACTTTTTAAGGCTGTGATTGTATTGTTGATAATTTCCCCTCTACAGAGATTGCCTTCTTGTGTTGTTATTTTTGGTTGGAGAGAGTGCCTCTGTGTCCAAAGATAAGCTAGAGTCATCATCATTGAAGTGAAAGCAATAATGCAAGCAGCAGGTACATGGTATGTTTTTCTTTTACAGCATAACATTTCAGACAGATTTAAATTCAGATGCAGTTGAATTTTTGCCAGAACTTCAGACAGACATACCTGCAAGAGGAGAAGAACATGAAATCTAGGGTCAGACCGTGGCACATCTTGTCAACTGCTTTGTGTTAGAGGAAGTACTTATTCTGTTTTCCCTTTCTCCACAAAAGCAATTATCAGTGTTTCAGTTTGCTCTCAGATGGGTCACTGTACATTGTGACTTGTCAAAGGACCTGTTAATTATATTACCTTTAGAATCCAAAGGCTTATGTCTATCTACAAAACCCACGCCAGGCATGTATGGGCCTAACAGCCATTTTAACATATTGGGCAATCACCTCCTTTTAAAACTAATGCTTCTAATTACAATATAATGTATTCCTCTTAAAAACTGGGAAGGGAAAAATACCTTTCCTCAAGGGTGCCTACCAATCCTTCATCCCACTGTTTTTCTCCTCTTAGCATCTGACATCCATCCCTGATGCCCTCTTTCTCCAGTTGCTATAAAATTCCTTGTTGTACTGAGCCACAGCAGATGACACCGTGGGCTCAGACTGGAGCATAAGCTCTGGGACCTTCCCCCCTAATGGGGTCCCTGAGCCTGGGTTCCAGCCTGAGTGCAAACATCTATTCCGCAATTAAACAGCCCCTTATCCTTAGCCAAGTCAGCTGGTACGGGCCAGAAGCAGGTTTTTAATTGCAGTATAGACTTACCTTCTGTGCTGCAGTTCCTCATCTGTAAGACAGTACACCTCTACCCCAATATAATGCTGTCCTTGGGAGCCAAAAAAATCTTACCACTTTATATCGAACTTGCTTTGATCCACCGGAGTGCGCAGCCCCGCCCCCCCTGGAGCGCTGCTTTACCACGTTATATCCGAATTCATGTTATATCGGGCTGCGTTATATTGGGGTAGAGGTGTACTTTCTTACCCCTTGAGGATTAATACATTAACAATGTAGGCTCAGATACTATGAAGTGCTCAGATACTATGGTACCATACAGGTATCTAAAACAGACATAGTCAATTACATGTATGCATATACAATGAATCTGTCTTGCACAGGGGAAAAAAACAACAAAAACATAAACCTCCTTCTACCTCGAGCTTGCTAGTAGACTTTGCCTCGGCCTGGAGGAGGATCTCATGGAGCTCAATACATTAGCCAGGAATGAGAGTGAATGCAATGCTAAGGTTCCAGCTCATGCAGAATATGACAGCCCCTGCCATGAGACAGGGTACTGGGAGCATGTTAGTCTGTGCTCCAGGCCCTCCACTGGCTCCCTGTGTGTTTCTAGACTCAGTCCTGATCTTCAAGGCTATTACCAGGACGGACATAGCAACATCAACAACCACATTTCTATGCATGAAACACAGACATCTATGCTTCTCACAAGCTCCAGGGTTAGGGTAACCCTAAGCCTTGAGCAGTCTAACTCCCCACCCTCTTGGACAAGCCATAGCTACTGTGGCAGACTGTACCCCATGACCACCCTTTTTACAAGACTATGATAAATTTTGTACAAAGTATGTTTTGTGAGGTATCATTTGAAAACTCACCATCTGCTAAACATTACTGGCCTGGTACAATGTGTGTGGCAACATTGTTAACGTAAAGTTATGATTCCACTGTATAACATTGCTGTAACATGTGCCAAAGTTAGAAGGCGAGCCCAAGCCAGTTTTTCAGAGACAAAGACACACTGGCACCCCAGCCAGGTATCAGCATAATCATATAAACAGTGGCCTCAAAATCACCTCCCCCCACCAATCTCTATACTCATGGCATCTACAGTGCTTGAAACACAAAGGAAGCATCATTGTACTGGGGGAGCTATGGGCGGCGGGTACAACAGGCCAGGGAAGGCTAAGCCGTGCGCTGGGGCTGGCCGTGCACGGCTGGCCGGGCATGGGGGGGCTGCCGGCTCAGCCCAGTGTGGCTGGCCCGGCGCTCGGGGGGTGGCCCGGCGTGGCTGGGAAGGGCAGGCCACGGGGCTCCTCCAGTCATGGAGGGTGGGTCAGGGCTCCTCCTGTTATGTGGGTGGGCGGGGTCTCAGGAGGAAGGGGCATGGCCTGCAGGCTAGCCTCCCCAAAGCAGGGGTTCACCCACCACCCATGTGGGGAAGGGTCTTGGCTGGGTGGCTTTTCAGACAAAGATTGCTGATAGCATATGGTGAGATTCAAACCTTTGTTTTGAATCCATTTAAAAGCTTCCTAAATTAGGTATTAATTTGCATATTATCTTTTATTTTCTTTGTAACCAAATCTGACTTTATGCCTCATTACTTGTAGTCACAAAATCTATCTTAGTTAATAAACTTGTTTTATTGTTTTATCTAAACCAGTGTGTTTGGAGTGAAATGCTTGGGAACCTCCATTTGAGATAACAGGACTGGTGCATCTCATTTTCCATTGCTGAAATGACAGACTTTCTATGAGCTTGTATTTTCTAGGAGGAGAGAGCTGGCCATTACAATATGCACAGTTTTGGAGACAAGTCTGGGACTGGGAATGGGAATTTGCTGGTGTCACCCTGTATGTAATTCATGAGTGGCTGGCCAGAGCATTCATGTAATTCTGCTGGGAGTGATTTTGCATGCTAGAGACTGTGTGATGATAGGACCAAGAGTGGTTTGTTCTCACAGCAGTGCAGCATAAAACACCCCATGTTGGAGATTTAAAGGGACACAGCTGTTCAGCAGTCCAGATACCCTAGGGAATGACAGTTAAGTTCTCTGCTGCCTTCCCTCTGAGTGCTTCCCAGTAGGAGGAGGAGGCACTAGGGAGACTGATCTTGTGATAGAAGGGAAATACAAAGCCAAGAAGACACATTTATGCCCTTTTACTGCTTTATGAAGCTTCTCCCCCCGACATCCGGATTATATAAAGAAGCCAAAGCTTATTGTTTCTACTTATGAATTATCTCTTTAAAATCATGGAGCAATATTTAAGATTGTACAAAAAGGACTTACTCAATCTAGCCAGAAAAGGTGTTGGTGGTGATATTGCCTCCCTCATAACTTTTAGCTCAGTGATTAGGGCACTTACCCAGTTCAATTTCCTCTCCTCTGTTTGTGGGGGAGAAATATTTTGTAACACCCCCGTTCAAAATCTACCTGTGTTCACAACCTACACACTATTGTAATAATGTTTGTACAAGTTATGCCTTGTGAGATATAATGTAAAAACTCAATTTGCTGATCAATAATAACATGGAGTTCCCTTCCACACAGACTTCCTGTCACCTTGCTCCCAGCTGGAAATGCTTCTCAAAGGGGGGACAGGACTATAAAAAGAAGGGGCAGATGACCTAAAAGATATCTCATTTTCTCCATCCCCAACATGTTCTCTGCACCTTAATAGACAAAAGAAGTAGCGGTTGGACTTTGCGGGAGGGGTCCTGATCTAAATAGCTTGGTCAGTAAAACTGCTGAAAGCATGTGGTGAGAAAACTTGGCTTTGAATCTAAGGGCTTGTCTACACTAGTACATTACAGCACTGCCACTTTCTTGCTCAGGGATGTGAAAAAACACCCCACTGAGCACAGCAAGTTTCAGTGCTGTAAAGCACCAGTATAGACAGTGCACCGGCATTGGTAGCTACGCCCCTCGTGGAGGTGGGTTTTTTAGAGCGCTGGGAGAGCTCTCTCCCAGCACTCTGTCGTGACTACACAAGACACATTAAAGCACTGCTAGTGTAGACTAGACCTATATAGTTTAAGTTAGTCACCAGTAAACATTTTACCTTTATTTTTCTTGTAATTGTTTCTGACTTTTACACCTTGTTACTTGTACTCAGTTAAAATCAATCTCTTTGTAGTTAATAAACTTTTTATCTAATCCAGTGTGTTAAAATTAAAGTGGCCAGATAACTATTTAAAATAATAAACTGGCATAGTATTCCCTTAAAAGAATAACAGACATAATATATTTGTACTGTCCAAGAGAGGGCTGGGCAGTACAGGGCATACATTTCTGGGGGAAGATCTGAGATGGGGTGCGTTGGGGTCACCCTGAGCATAACTAAGGCTGGTAAGAGCCAAGGTGTGTCTGGCTGGCTGCAGCACACACACACTTACATGGTGGAGGCTGTTTGTGAGCAGGCCAGGTTGGCGGCAACAGCAGCAAACCATTGTAAAGGGCACCTCAAGTTACAGAGCGGGGATGACACAGCTACACAGTCTGGATTGTGCACCGGTATATAATAAAAGGTCTCCCACCCATCAGGAGCATGCTGTAATCACCCACGTATGGGATATTATGATGTAGGTCCCTCTCAATCTCTCCTGTTGAAACTTCCATTTTGGATAAATAAAGCATCATGGGGGGAGGGAGCAAGGCGAGAGAGAATGACTCCATATCCTGGTGGCTAAAGCACCCAGCGGGAGGTGGGAGACCCAGGGTCCAGTTCCCCTGCTCCAATGATTATTTCTCCAAAGTGGAACATCTTCAGTGGGAGAGACTGAGAAGTGCCACATCAGAATATTTCATAGCTCAGGGGTGAGAGCACTCTCCTGAGAGGTGGGAGACCCGTGTTCAAATCCTCTTTCCCTATTAGGGGGAGAAGAGAATTGAACCTGGGTTTCCCATATCCTGAATAAGTACTCTAACCACTGGGGTAAGAGTTAGAAAGGTGGCAGGGGCATCACCAATGCGAGGAACAGGCAAGAATGGCTGAGGCACCTAACGCCATGAGAGGGATTAGCTTAAGACACACACCTCTCATTGACATCTCCAATTGGCTAGTTTAGGTGAGTTCCTGTCTAGTGTGCTGGCTTTTATAGATCCCATTCTTAGGCACCTGTCTGTTCCCCTTGCACTGTATAGGGTGCCTGTCAGGGTACACCCCCCCAAATCTGAACTCTGGGGTACAGATGTGGGGACCTGCATGAAAGACCCCCTAAACTTATCTTCTACCGCTTAGGCTAAAATTCTTCCAAGACACAGTCTTCTGCCTTGGACAGATATTGCTGCCACCACCATGTGATTTTCACAAATAG